AAAAAATAATACTGTTTCAAGATCCAGAGGAAACCCATCCAGTGAATCTAGACATCAAGAACATACAGTGAATCCAGACATCAAGAGCATCCAATGAATCCAGACATCAAGAACATCCAGTGAATCCAGACATCAAGAACATCCAGTGAATCTAGACATCAAGAACATCCAGTGAATCTATACATCAAGAACATCCAGTGAATCCAGACATCAAGAGCATCCAATGAATCCAAACATCAAGAACATCCAGTGAATCCAGACATCAAGAACATCCAGTGAATCTAGACATCAAGAACATCCAGTGAATCTATACATCAAGAACATCCAGTGAATCCAGACATCAAGAACATCCAGTGAATCCAGACATCAAGAACATCCAGTGAATCCAGACATCAAGAACATCCAGTGAATCTATACATCAAGAGCATCCAGTGAATCTATACATCAAGAACATCCAGTGAATCCAGACATCAAGAACATCCAGTAAATCCAGACATCAAGAACATCCAATGAATCCAGACATCAAGAACATCCAATGAATCCAGACATCAAGAACATCCAGTAAATCCAGACATCAAGAACATCCAGTGAATCTATACATCAAGAACATCCAATGAATCCAGACATGAAGAACATCCAGTGAATCTAGACATCAAGAACATCCAGTGAATCCAGACATCAAGAACATCCAGTGAATCTAGACATCAAGAACATCCAGTGAATCTAGACATCAAGAACATCCAGTGAATCTATACATCAAGAACATCCAATGAATCCAGACATGAAGAACATTCAGTGAATCTAGACATCAAGAACATCCAGTGAATCTAGACAACAAGAACATCCAGTGAATCCAGACATCAAGAACATCCAATGAATCTAGACATCAAGAACATCCAGTGAATCTATACATCAAGAACATCCAATGAATCCAGACATGAAGAACATTCAGTGAATCTAGACATCAAGAACATACAGTGAATCTAGACATCAAGAACATCCAGTGAATCCCAATATCAATAACATCCAGTAAATCTACACATCAAGAACATCCAGTGAATCCAGACATCAAGAACATCCAGTGAATCTGTAAATCAAGAACATCCAATGAATAAACATCAAGAACATCCAGTGAATCCAAACATCATGAACATCCAGTGAATCTAAACATCAAGAACACCCAGTGAATCCAAAATCAATAACATCCAGTAAATCTAAACATCAATAACATCCAGTGAATCCAAACATCAAGAACATCCAGTGAATCCAAACATCAAGAACATCCAGTGAATCTAGACATCAAGAACATCCAGTGACTTTAAACATCAAGAACATCCAATGAATCTAGACATCAAGAACATCCAGTGAATCCAAACATCAAGAACATCCAGTGAATCCAAACATCAAGAACATCCAGTGAATCCAAAATCAATAACACCCAGTAAATCTAAACAGCAAGAACATCCAGTGACTCTAGACATCAAGGAAATTCAGTAAACCTAATCATCAAGAACATCCACTGAATCTAAAAATCAAGAACATCCAATGAATCCAAACACCAAGAACATCCAGCAAATCTAAAGATCAAGAACACCTAGTGAATCCAAGCATCGAGTACATCCAGTGAATCTAAACTTCAAGAGCATCCACTGAATCTAAAAATAAAGAACATTCAATGAATACAAACACCAAGAACATCCAGCAAATCTAAACTTCAAGAACATCAGTGAATCTAAACATCAAGAACATCCAGTGAATCTAGACATCAAGAACAAGCAGGGATTCCAAACATCAAGAACACCAAGTGAATCAAGACATCAAGAAGATCCAGTGAATCCAAACATCAAGAACATCCAATGAATCCAAACATCAAGAACATCCATATCTAAAGGCAAAATGATCTCAAATTATTAAATAATTAAATGTATTCCCCTGGTTTGGGGTGGGGGTGGGGTGTCTCTGACAGTAAACAAAAGAACAATTAACCTTTGATAACAGTCTAATGTTGCAGTACCAGCAATATAGCAGATTGAGATTATACATCAAACAAACTACAGAAGGGGACACAAATAAAGAGAGTTGCTTAATCCACTTTCTTTATTGGCTCAAGGTTCAATAACTCTCACTTTGAACCACGCGACTTATTTCCCCTTCTATTTAAGTACCACCCACTACAATTAGCCATACACATGAAAGAAGTGACAGAGAAGAGCAGTTCTGACCCTGGGCGCTACAGGGAACCCTAGCCCCTCCCCCTTCACCCTTTTCATCGACTTCAAAAGTATCCGACTCCATCTCCGAATACCCCACTTCAGACTCGACTCTTCATTATTTTATCCAAACTTTTCACCCCCCCCCCTTCCTCCCTTCGGTTGTTAAATTTGCTTGCCTAGTTAAGTTTTACCGCAATTATCTCCAGGAAGCCCACCTCAGAATTAACGTTTGATCTCCCGACAAGCTCCCAGTGAGGCGACCAGATTAAAGTGATTACCTTAACTCTAGCACAGCCGCAAACCCAGATAACAAGGGCGTCAAGGTGGAATCTGGTTAGGAGGCCATAATTGATAAATAACCAAGGTCTACGGGAGAAATGAGGACATATTGCTTGTAATTATCCCATAAAAAAATCCCCCTTTCCACATTTTGATGACTCACCAGAGATACAGTTGTATAAATAACCTTGCTCCCATAGATATCACGTGATCAGGCCGGGGTGCCGTTACGTTATGGGAATAACGTACAATCGGTTTCCCTGCCGGTCTAAAGTCTGGCTTAATCTGGTTTATGTACAACAGAATGTCTGGGGGACAAAGAAATCAAGCAACGGCCACCACGGGCTGTCCAGAGCAGTCTGTCAGAGTGAGCTGTGCAAGCGTTAAGATAACCCACACCGGTGACCGGAAATGTGATCGAAAGAAATTTCATCGACGGTAAATTGATCGACAGTAATTTGATCGAACGGAAATTTGGTCGAATTTTTTTTTATCCAGTTCACACGTTAAAATTTTCGTCAAATTTCTTTTTGAACGCACTGTACTATATATCAAAACAAAATAATGCGTTCAAGTAGAAATTTGAAGCAAAATTTTAACGTAAAACTGAAGGAAAAAAAGATTCGACCGAATTTCCGTTCAATCAAATTACCGTCGATCAATTTACCGTTGACGAAATTTCTTTCGATCACATTTCCGGATACGACGCAGACCAGGGGTCGCCGAGATGGTATGGTACAAAGATGTAGTCTTTTATCAGATACTAGTAAAGCAGGTTTCATTTGTTATTGTTAATGTAATAGCCGATCGGGGAATATATTGTTTAATCCCTTTCATTATTATTATGATTATTAATATTATTATTATTAGCACTGATTGCCAGTGCCACTTAGTGAGGGTATCATGCACTGGGGGTTGGAAGGCCTGTGGCAAAAGACGCAAATGTGTCTATATAGTGTTGTCGCCTCAACTGTTCCTTTTGAAAGCTTGTTCCAGTCCCTGATTGTCTTGGGCAGGAATGAGCAGTTCCTATACTGGCTTCTTGCTGGTATGAGCCGGAATTGCCTGTTAGATGTTACAGACAGATAGAATTCACATCTTGACACAAAGCTGGTGTCTCGTCAGATGTTACAGACAGATAGAGATCACATTTTTTGGACAGGTTAAGTGATGGTTCCGGTCCTCCAGGTATATTGCTGGCTTCACGTCTCTGTCTCAAATATCCAACACTGTCATTTGCTGAGTGTACGTCTGATTAGAGAAAACTTTCAATGGATAAAAAATGTGCTGGGAAATCCATGTATTTTATAAGCCCTACCGTAATTGTATATGGATAGTATATGGATAATATGTGGATTGTATTGTATATGGATAGTGTATGGATAGTGTATAATCATTTTTATTGTTACTGCTTTAGCTTTAAAATGAGTGAAATATTTTGTTAAGAAATCTATATTTAGCAGACATGAAGTGGATGGTTGTATATTTGTAACACCCGGAATATCAACTACTTAAGACTTCCACCGAGTCTGCGGTATCGTAATGCTGTTATTAAGAGTTACTCCTGATATCTCTGTTTGAAACAAGCACTTTGAATGACTGTTCTAATGTGAGTTCATCCTCAAGTGCCCTTGAACTTCTAACCCTTTCAATGGATGGAAGTGCTTGATCGTCTAATGACAAACACATGTAACACTTTGAATCTAACTTCCGCTTTCGCTGTTGAATGTTGATGGTTTAAGAAAATGACTCAATCCATCAGTTAATTGATTCATGGATACATACATACATTTCTACCGCAACTTTACATGAAAAAATATGCATCACTACTTGCTTACAGCCACGATGGCGGATATTGTTTTAAAATGTAAGTGAAGCTGGTAAGCAACGCAATTGTTGAGCTAGTAATAATAATAATAAAGTTCATTTCAAAAACACGCTTCATCCCTAATTAAGGCTCGAAGCGCGCTACAAAGTCAACAATATTTGACAGTTAATATTTTTCCACAAATAAAATACAAAATGCAACAATACAAAATCTACATCGAGGAATATGAGCAAGCTGGGAACAAGGAGGTAGACTACATCGCCCCAGCAGGTGATTGCGGAAAAGATGTGGTTTTTAACTTAGTTTTGAAAGACTGCAGTGTCTGCCTGTTTCTGAGAGCGACAGGAAGGGCGTTCCAGATTCTTGGGCCAACAAAAGCGGAAGTGCGCCTTCCGAAGGTCTCAAGGCGGACTCGCAGTATTCAGAGTTTGCCACTATTGGATAAACTGAGTGATCTAGTGGGTACATAAGGTCATTTTTATGTATTGTGATACAACCTACTGAACATATTTTTATATTTGTGACACAAAATACTTATGTATTTTTGAAACCCCAAATAAAGGTATTTGCATTAGTATTTTGTATGAATATATATTTCGCATACCTCAAGAATGTATGGTTAAGGAATCTTTGTTTGTATTACTAGCAGATATGGAATATAAATGCAAAAAAAGAAAATCTTTTAGGTCCCAGTCAAATATTTTATTTCAAAAGTTATGCTTTACAAAAGTTTTTAAGTACCCGCAAAATAAAGTAAATGAAACATGCAGTTACCAGATGCTGATGCAATGATTTAGTGATCCTACTAAATATGCTGCAGAGAAATAATCATATTAAAAAATGCATGATTAACATACATTATTTTTATAGAAGTTTTTGAATTATCAGCAGCAGTTGTAACTATGACCAACATATGCATCACTTCAACTCATTCTTAAGATCTCAAGACTCAAGTGTTACAGCATCTGACTCTCAAGACTCAAGTTTTACAGCATCTGACTCTCAAGACTCAAGTGTTACAGCATCTGACTCTCAAGACTCAAGTGTTACAGCATCTGACTCTCAAGACTCAAGTGTTACAGCATCTGACTCTCAAGACATGAACTAGTTACAGGGCAAAATAATATCTAAATCACAAATCTAGACAAGTGAAGCAACATAAAATATAAAAAACAAAACCAGCTACTAAACTATTACCACATCAGCTAATCCATCCATCCATCCCTGTGGCACTACAGCCCATGTAGGGCTTTGGCCTGTCTCACTACTTCCTTCCACTCGACCTAGCTAATGCTTTTCTTTTCCATGCTTGGATTCCCAGTTGTTGCAGATCTTTTTCCCACATCAATCCATCCATCTAAGCTTAGGTCTACGGTTCAGCGATTTTGCTCTGGGATTTTGGTGACGCACCATCTTCACTCCTCAGTCATTTGGCATTCTCTCTAAGTGGCCTGCCCAGCGTAGCCTGCCTCTTTTTATTTCTGCTATTATCGTGGGATCCTGATATTGTCTGTACAGTTCCTGGTTGGTTCGTATTCTCCATCCATATTCATCCTTGTGTTGGTCCATATATTTTCCTGAGAACTTTTCTCTCCCATGTGTTGAATAGGTTTTCTGCCGGTTTTGTTACATGAGCAAAGGTCAGGCAAAACTACATTTGTAAATATATTATAAACAATTGACATTCAAACGTTAATTGCAAAATAAAGTAATATAAACAACAAGAAAAGGTTCCAAAATTGTGACACAATTTGAAAGTTTCCCCACACTGTAGTTGCATGTTGCATAGATGTCAAGTGCACAACAGGGTCACCATCAACATGTTTCCTGTACTGTAAATATTTTAGGCGAACTTTCTTTTCATAAAGTACTTACAAGCCATAAAAAGTCATTAAAGGGAGAGAAGACAGCAACAAAAAGGGAGAAAAGCATATAATAAATGGGCAGTTTACATTGATTGGTTTGATGACATAATTTATTCATTCTCTTGTATAGAATTTTTATTGTTGTTTTAAAAAAAAATAATTAGTTTGAAATTAATTTTTTTCAAGATACCCCTCAAAGAAGATAATATCAAAAATAAAATCAAATGGACATAAATTAAGTTTGTGACATTTGCAGCAAAATGCAACATTCTATAAATAACATTTGGTCAAACCCCCCCCTCCCATTTCCCCCTGTCACAAAGTGTCGCATATTCTCAACCCACCCCCTCTAAGCTTGACGTAATTTGCCAGTGACCCCTAAATGTGAAAATTTACTTATTAATATCAAAAATAAAATCAAATGGACATAAATTAAGTTTGTGACATTTGCAGCAAAATGCAACATTCTATAAATAACATTTGGTCAAACCCCCCCCCACCCCACCCCCTGCTCTTTGTTTTTAATAAATGTTTTTTAAAATATAAAACTGTAGAAGGATATTTTATTTTAATTTTAAAAAATTTAAAGGGTGATTATGTATAATAGCATTCAGAATATTCATTTTAAACTTGGTCAAATGGAATGTTTATTTCATGTGAAGCCAGGACATTTTCCTTTCAAAGACATTATCTCCATGTCCAGGACGCTGTTTCTTCTTCGCTTCCCAAAGTTTTGTGAAAAATGGGTCTCTTGTCAGTGGACGATATTTACTATGGAGATCCCAAGATATTGCAATAGGGTTACCTGTGGTACAAAAAGAATATGTTTTAACACATATATCAACCTCATAGTAAGCTGAATCAGCCTTATTTCGATTCAATAACTGAGGTTTATATTTGATAGGAAATCTATGTAATTTCTGCATGAATGATATTGTAAAGCTTGGATTGTACACCTCCCTTTTATCATTAAATGACACTCCTTGTTATAGCAGATTTTGGACCTCCATCCCTATTAAATGATGCCTGCTGTTATAGCTGATTTTGGACCTCCATCCCTATTAAATGACACTCCTTGTCATAGCTGATTTTGGACCTCCATCCCTATTAAATGACACTCCTTGTCATAGCTGATTTTGGACCTCCATCCCTATTAAATGATGCATGCTGTTATGGCGGTTTTTAGACCTCCCTCCCAATCATCACAATTTGCCACATAATTTAGAATCCCTCGTAATACATCATCACAAATTGGTGACCTACTCCACATTATTTATGGATGGTCCCTTAGTTCAGTATTTCCCAACAAGGGGGCAGTAACACCACCATGTCTCAGATTTCCCAGTGTGGATGGACACAGAAAGAAGTCAGAGAGAGTGCGCTCTTTGAAGCTATAGCACCTTAATCATGGGACAGTTTGCTTCTATCTCTGAGTGAAATTTAAAATGATAAAAAATCATTTAAGAAACATTTGCCTACTTTTTTCTTCAAATAGATTTTAGGACATCAGAGCGCTGTGAGCATACTAAAATAGCATGGACACAAGCGCTATGAAAGTATTCAATCATCATCTTCATGTGGTGTATGCCCCACAAGGGAGCAGTGACACCAGATCTCCTGCTTCACATCAGTGTTTCTCATCATGTGGTGTATGCCCTACAAGGGAGCAGTGACACCAGATCTCCTGCTTCACATCAGTGTTTCTCATCATGTGGCGTCCACCCCAGATCTCCTAGTTTACAATTAAAGACATGAATACAGAAACGAAGTGTTTTCCAGCTGCTTGTTACTACGGGCTAATGACTTGATTAATTCGTACCTAGTAGGATTGTGGCACAATCATTTGGTATTGGAACAATCCTTACCCATTTACCGATATAAGATAAGGTAAAATAAAATTCTTCAAATGGTCCAAACAATTTTTCTACATTTGAACTATTCATGTTCATCATATTACACAGACTGAAATACTTCTCACCTGATGGGACTGTAGGGTATTGATAGGAATACTTCTTACCTGTTGGGACTGTAAGGTATTGATAGGAATATTTCTCACCTGACGGGACTGTAGGGTATTGATTCAACTGGAAGGTCCATGGAGCCTCAACTGTAGCCATGATATGTTCACCAAAGATGTAAGAATCCCATGAGGTACCCTAAAGCAAATCCATCATCAATGAAATTAACACAATATTATCCTCGAGTTTAAAATGTTTCTTTATTTAAATACAACTGTGTTAGTCTCTCTTAAATCAAACATTTAAAACAGTTGTCTTTGTGTACAGTTTCTAATGGAATTTGTAATACGTTTTTATAGTTACTCACATTCTGAAGAAGTTGAACAAGCCATTGTGTGAAAAACTGCCATCTTGGTTTGTAAAAGCTGTGAATTATTTTGTGCAATTATTGTCACATTGATCTGATAAAACCAGAATTATATTTTTGTAATTTAATCAGCAATAGCAATAAAATTATCGAAGTCTTATAAAATAATTATCAGAAATTTAAACCCTAGCAATGAAGCCCCACTTCAGTGACACACAACATTTTTATTTAGATATGTGCACCTAATTGTAATTCAACCTAACAGAAAGAGTTTTAATTTATTTTCTAAAGAAGATTGCAAATCAGCATTTAGATGGTAACAGTTTAATCTTGCATCTTTAAAACAACTTCTATCAAACAAAAGGGGGAAAAAATGAAATACAGGAATGTAGTGTGAGATCTGAAGAAGGGCTGGCAGAGAGAGCCAAATACAATAATCTTCTATCTGGTCTAAAAGACCCACTCAGGCAGAGAGAGCCAAATACAATAATCTTCTATCTGGTCTAAAAGACCCACTCAGGCAGAGAGAGCCAAATACAATAATCTTCTATCTGGTCTAAAAGACCCACTCAGGCAGAGAGAGCCAAATACAATAATCTTCTATCTGGTCTAAAAGACCCACTCAGGCAGAGAGAGCCAAATACAATAATCTTCTATCTGGTCTAAAAGACCCACTCAGGCAGAGAGAGCCAAATACAATAATCTTCTATCTGGTCTAAAAGACCCACTCAGGCAGAGAGAGCCAAATACAATAATCTTCTATCTGGTCTAAAAGACCCACTCAGGCAGAGAGAGCCAAATACAATAATCTTCTATCTGGTCTAAAAGACCCACTCAGGTAAAGGAAGAAGAGTGTGACAAAATGGCATTTCCCTTTGAGTCAGTAAATGATAAACTGTTTCTAAAGCCGACATTATGAGCGCACTGTTGAGATCTGTAAGAGAAAGGAATACTTACTCTGCTGTAACACCTTGCCACTGCTTGGATGCATAATCCTTAATCTGGAAAAATTATTTGATGTAAAATATCAGAGACAAAAATTTCACCATCATTTCTTTAGCTTTTAAAATGAATTTTTTTTAATGCACTCATTTGAATTATGATTTAAAACTATACATCATCACTTAACAAAATAAATTGCTGTTAATAAGCATGTCAATGTCAAATATATTTCTTATACTGAATGTTGCCAGTCATTAAAAAATAATATTATAAAAAGTTTATTAATTTGTTTACATATTATAGAGAGTATATTACAGAGAGCAGTTATTATCTGACTTTTCAGTATGGAAATATAAAAAGGAGATTTTTCCTGTTGTGTAACTTCTGTCAGCACTTCATTCTACTACTAAAGATGAATGCTTTTTAAAAAAATACTCAATCAGAATATTAGCTAGATAATAACAAAATTGGCTACCTCTCCTCGTGGGCCCCACAATGTGATCTGGTTACGGGCATTGTACTCGTATAATTTGGCCTCATTATCATCGGTTGACCACGACCTGGCATCTGCTATCCATGGACCCAGCAGGAAACGTTCATTAGAACCAAGCAAATGATCCAAGTCAGCCAACAGGTTGGTAATGTTGTTACCAGCTTCTCTGTAAAGTAACAAGGACTTATAAACAATGTAGTTGAAGACATATAAACACTGTAGTTGTAGGACATATAAACACTGTAGTTGTAGGACATATAAACACTAGAAGTAGGAAATATAAACACTAGTAGTTGGACATGTAACACTGCAGTGGTAGGACATATAATACTGCACTAGTGTAGGACATAAACACTGTAGGAGTAGGTTATATAAACACTGTAGTAGTAGGAAATATAACACTGCAGTAGTATGACATATAAAAACTGTAGTAGTAGGACATATAAACACTGCAGTGGTAGGACATATAAACACTTGAGTATAGCTTCTGTGACCCTCAATTTTTTAACCTTCCTTAATTTTGTATTATAAAAAGTGTTGGGACTGGATAAAGCTTTAAAATAGATTAATTAGACACCAACAATTTGTGTCAATATACAATATAATTTAAGCTTTAATAATAGTTATACATAATACATAAGCAAATGTTTCGGCACATGCCTTCAAACAGTACAATAACACAACATTTAAATAAGTATAAATTAAATTTACATAATATATATATATACATATATCCTACCTAAAAATAATATAAAAAAATAGGAGAGGACGCAAAAACTAGACAAAAAGCTCTCCTTTACTTTGTATAAGTATATTATAAACTATCTGATCACCAGATGATAACTTGATTGAGATTAATGTTAGATTGAGGCATGTGTTAAATTGATGGCTTGTCTCTTTGTGCAAATTCATCTAAATAAATGTAGGACAAATGTTAAATCAATGCTAAAATCACTCAAGTGTCAAACAAAAAATTGTTTAATTAAATAAATAATCCTTGGCCAATACTCTTCTTTTTCAAAAACAAATTTCACATAATACATGAAGGGTGGAACTCTTACTTAAGAGTTTGGATGTCCTTAGCTCGATAAGAATTAGTCATGGTTGCATAAAACTTGAGGGCTAAGAGCTGAAGACAGTCCCGGGTCACATCTGTGATGTCGTAATGGAACAGTTCACTACCTTCTAGGTCGTAGGTGGCATTTAGCATATTGTCCCAAGCTGACAAGAGATCTCCAGGTTCATACCACAGCTAGATAAACAAGAAAGTTCTACTTTATAAAATGGCCTTTGTAAGACTTCAACAGCAACAAGAAAGTTCTACTTTATAAAATGGCCTTTGTAAGAATTTAACAGCAACAAGAAAGTTCTGCTTTATAAAATGGCCTTTGTAAGACTTCAACAGCAACAAGAAAGTTCTACTTTATAAAATGGCCTTTGTAAGACTTCAACAGCAACAAGAAAGTTCTACTTTATAAAATGGCCTTTGTAAGACTTCAACAGCAACAAAAAAGTTCTACTTTATAAAATGGCCTTTGTAAGACTTCAACAGCAACAAGAAAGTTCTGCTTTATAAAATGGACTTTGTAAGACTTCAACAGCAACAAGAAAGTTCTACTTTATAAAATGGCCTTTGTAAGACTTCAACATCAACAAGAAAGTTATACTTTATAAAATGGCCTTTGCAAGAATTCAACAGCAACAAGAAAGTTCTGCTTTATAAAATGGCCTTTGTTAGACTTCAACAGCAACAAAAAATAATAATTTTAAATAATAAAATCTGGATGAGTCAATAAATTCCCAATTTCTGGAAAAACTACAAACACACCTTTGTTAAAATAATAACATATATATGTAAGTTAATATTCTTTTACTATCCATATAAGTGGAAAGTATGTATAATGTTCTCAAAAAAACTTTTAAAATGTTGTCATGGTAAGAATATGTATCCATGTGCTAAAAATGAATATGTATAATTTAAATTATAATGTACAAAAAAAACTTCATTTTCAGCACATGGATAAATATTCTTACCAAGACAAACTTTTAAACTAAGCAATTTAAACACAAGATTAATGACATTTAAAGTATTTCTCAAGTGAAAAATTAATCCGTCATTTACCATAAAATCAAACTCGGTGACAATATTGACTTTCAGAGTGATTATTTAGATTTTGTAACAGCCGGTGTAACAGCCGGTGTAACAGCCGGGAGAGCACGCTTTTAAATGCTTGCAGATGGTCATTAAAACAGATAAAAAGAACTACATGTCCCTCTGATGTAAAAATAATTAACGATCAATTCATAATTCATTTAACCACTTCATTACCGCAGAGTTTTGGCATTGATTTTTGCCGACTCAGCAACAAAAAACTTAAAAGATGAAATTTTTGGTATATTTCATTCTCTATCCGATTCGCTTTTTAACTTCTCGATAGATTAACGAATAAGGAAATATATTGAAATTTGACATCGATGTGACGTCCTTTGGTATTTTAGAAAAGTTCTTAAATTTTTGTTAAGACGACGATGTGACGCCCTTGGTAATTGAAAGTGGGTGACCGTGACGTTGCCTTGACGTCATCGGTAATGAAGAGGTTAAAAATTATATATTTTATGTTAATATATAATTCTTGTTATCATTTCTTGTTTTATATTCAGGTAGCTAATGGTAGCTAAGTTAACATTATATCAATGGTTACTAAGTCAACAATAAAGTTTTGTGAATGACTGACAGTTGTATGGAAAAACAAAGATAATTATTAAGTTTGATAAACTTCATTCTCCATTGTTATGTAGCAGTTAGGGGGCTGTTATGGTAAGATAATGTGGCCAAACAAAATTGAACAATAAATAATTTAAATATGGAGGAAAAATTTTTTTTACTTACATCTTGAAAGATATCGTAAGTGGGAGTTGGTCTCAGAGTGATTAAGACATTGTCAAAGTCTCGAACATGAGTTGAAGCATTGTAAACACTTTTCTAACAGGGAAAGACAAATCCCTTATTAAACAGAAATATAAGAGTTCATGATACCAATAGCGCAAGAGAGTATTCTTCTAAAACTCCCGTGCTCTTGGCTCAATTATTTATGGCATGCTTGTTTTAAACTTACATCCTGGCCACTGTAATTCAAAGAAGGTCGTCTGGCAAAGACAACAGTATTGTGATCTCTATGGCCATCAGTGGCATTGTATACACTTTTCTGTAAGCATTGCAAATAATGGCACATATTTTTAAACAGGGCCTAAAGCCTCAACCTTTTATAACTTATCAATTCTATTAATTTACACAATTTTTATGTAATGCATATTTTCTTAATTTCATTGATGAATTATTTAACTCTCAACATGGGAATAAAAGCAGTGAGGTTGAAAAACACTAATCTTTATCTAGCATTCATTCTACTGACCATGGATTATATTTTATTATAAGTTTAAATTAACTTAAGCTGTTAATTTAAAATGAACTCTTACGTTAAAAATGTGTACTAATGTGTGATTGGAATACAATTTAATCTTATGTTGCCTTTTTATTTTTGTTATTGCCATTCTTCAAATATTTTAACCTGTAAGTTATTGGTCACATTTAGAACTTTTAATGGTAATCACCAAATTCTCATTTATCAAATACTGGAACCATTTTTATTTGAAGAAATGGGAATAAGAATTTAATAATTAAATAACAATTTAAATGATCTTCTCGAAGAGTTAAAAAATGAACAATTTTTTTTAAAAATCACAAGTTATTTTTCCTTTGCTCACCATAAGAAGTTTCCATGCAGCTATAGCAGGAGGACTTTCAGCGCCATAGCGCTGATTGGCAAAAGATGTAACCCTTGAGATGCAAAACACATTTCATAATTAAAGACTAATTATATGTGTCATGTGAGTTAACTTGCATCAATCAAGGAAATATTTAGAGTTTAACATTTAATTTCAGCTTAAAATTGTATTCGAGTTTAAGTGATGTGATCAGTTTCTCTCTCAAGTTAGAAAGTCATGATCTAAACTGTTAACAATTTACTCACCAATCATTGATGTCCCTTGGTTGAGTTCTCCAAGAGTTCTCCATCATGAATTCATACATGACCTCATTCTGATGTATACCTTCAGGAGTAAGTCCAATACCAACCATTGTGGAGTTTGGGAACTGCCGGCCTAGAAATGGTCCCTACAAATTGAAGTGTTAAAAAATATTAACATTTGCAAGTCTTTAAAGCTATAGGTAAATGTTAACTGGAATCAAAAGATTTAAAGTCTGTTCTGGGAAATTTATCAGTCATGAAATAATAGTTTCATTTAAATGAATATACACTAAAAATTACTCAAATGGAAGAATGGTTATTAGTACAATACAATGTTATTGCCTTAAATATAGTCCACCTGGGTATACACACAACAATGGCAGTGCCTCTTCAATGCCTCAACAGTTTCACTTGGATTTTTCTAGAGTGCTGAAGTGAGGCCCATAAGGGGCTTGGTCAGGTGGGTATGGAGTATGTGTGACAACCACCATGTTGTTTATGTCAATAGTATGTGTGACAACCACCATGTTGTTTATGTCAATAGTATGTGTGACAACCACCATGCTGTTTATGTCAATAGTATGTGTGACAACCACCATGCTGTTTTATGTCAAACACTGTCATGCCCGCAAGAGATGTGGTCAGGGGCATTGCTATGATACAGCACACATATCTGTGCAAGTGTTATATTCTCTTTTTGTCAAACTTCTGCTCCAAAACTCCTTATGATGCTGTTAGGGCCGAGCCCCAAGGGAACAATTCTTGGTGATTATGTTGCCAATAAACAAAATAAGCAAGCTTTTTTTGCTGCTGTTTTTGAACAAAAAAACTTTGATTCAAGTATGTTGTTCAAATTGACCTGCATTCATAACATTGTAAGGGGTCAATGTTGAAGTCACAATAAATGAAGTCTTGAAACCTTCCAATGCCACTTTGTTAAAAAGCACACGTTGATAATGCTAGAATACAATACAGAGATGACTGAATGCAAATGACAGCTTAAGTATTATAACACAAACCTTGTTAATTTGATCCACGGCCCCATACAGCTCCATGGTACCACCAAAATTGTGTAGCATACACCAAATAAATGGTTGGCCATAATAAGATTCAAACTTACTGTACAAAGGACCTGTCTCTGATGCCAGGTCAAGAATTATCATTCTACCCTGTCATGAAAAAAAGCGAGTGACAACAGATTTTAAGTTAAACAACCAACACATAAACAATTTCAGAAATTTCTCAGGTCTTAAATGACAATAAAAATAAAAATTCATTAGCATCAACATGAAAATAGTTATCCACCTGATAGAAATTAAGCAGTGCCCTGAGTGAAAAATATGACAATATTTGTTTTAAAAATGTATTCTAAAGGTTTGTAATGGATTAAGTAGAACAAGTGATAGTTTTTATTTCATAATGGTTTTTCTTTATTCTCAGAGGACATAATCATAAAGGTTACCAACCTGAGGCACAGAAGTCACTAGAGCTTTGACCAATGGTGGTTTCCAGTATTCAGAGTTGCCAAACAGCCATCCTTGCATTAACCTATGAAATGTTCAACTGTACTTAGATATTTATGTCATTACTATTTTGTGAATTCAAGAACTCTCTATGCTGAGTAAACCTTTAACTGGCCCTATAATTAAATGGTAAAATCCCAGACACTAGGCAGATTGATAACATTAACTGACATTGAAGATACCGGCCATCTTGGTGCATTTTAAAACTGCTTTAAGAATTCTGGGATAAAAAACCCAAAAATACAGAACATAAAAAAAAAAAGAATTTTCATTTATTTTATTAACAAATTATAAGAGTTTTGGAGTGTGATGAAGCTTTCAAGTAGATCAATTTGACACAAACAATTTGTTTACATAAAACAAGACAAGTTAAGCTTTAATAATTGTAACATAGAATACAAATTTAAATATTTCAGCAAATGCCTTCTTCGGTACAACAAAAAAATTTATATAAGTATAAATTAAATCTACATTATATGTATATATAATTTATACTTATAAAAATGTTTTTTGTTGTACTGAAGAAGGCATTTGCTGAAACGTTGGCATTTATATTCTGTGTAACCATAATTTCTTTGCTTTTTTTAAATTTTAGGAAGAAGAACAAATAATTTCCCTTCGTTAAGGCAAAATAATTGTAAAATTTTAAGGGATAAAAATAAGGTTGTTACAAGAAACATTTTCTTTAAACAAAAAGTTTGAAAAATATTCTAGATATTTTAGGTTTCGATTTTTACATGTTTGTTCACAATTTTCAAAAAAAATGAAATACAGCATAATTAAATTTTTTTTAAATAAAAAGATGACAGTAGATCTGATTTTGAATTTACCAAATGGACTGAGGATCTCCAGCCACCATTCCAGAGAAAACTGCTTTCCCAGCTGTGCTAACATAAGCAGGATCACTGAGATCAAAAACAAATCTCTCATTACTAATAAATATAAAGCCATTCATAATAAACATATGTTCCTTTATAATGATAAAAACCATGTCTTATGATAAAATTGACTTTTTCTCTAACTAATGTTAAAAAATATTGATTGTAAATTATTTAAAAAGACATTGACCCATGAAAATATTACCATAAAGATATAAACTAATACACATGCACTTCATTACTGATTAACTTTTGAAAGCACATGACAAAAGAAAAATGAAATTATTATTTAAAAAAACTATTTTCAAACATAGATCGGGCATTGAGATAAATGTTACAATAGTCATCCTAAATTATTACTTTTTAAACTGTTTGGCAGAGGCTATGTTATTAAAGACCTTTACAGATGTAATAAATAAATATGTCATTTTCTAGTACCTCGACTTTGGGTTCATCTCATTAAATGTGTCAGTGTTGTATATATGATCAGTTCCATACTCATTGGTTTGCTGCAAAAGAAATATTAAGATTAAATATATTAAATTAAAGGCACAAAAAAAATCATACTAACATAATAGCAGAATTAAATAGCCTTATTATAAATCTTATAATGATGAACTAATTTTTTTGTTTTTTAAATCAAAGCACCAAGGGTTGACCAAAGTATTAAAAACCTAAACAAATGATTCTTATCAATAACGTACTGCTTCTATGAAGGCTTGACTTATTTTGTTGAACAAAGGATCTTGGAAATCTAGAAGGTAAATCCTGTTTAAGAGATAATTAATATTTTTAGGCAAACAGTTTTGACTTAACATTAAGGTATTTATGTCAGCTTAAGAATTTTTTTTTTTCATTTCAATAACAGCAGGGAAGTAATCCCTGTTTTAAAACTGACGTTTGATTTCTCATCTTACCCTGAATATGTGGAGTTAAATCCACCCCATTCACCCAAACGAGTCACATTAGCTTCTGGAAATACTCTGAAAAATGCACACAAAAAGGTTAGTAACAATATTTAAACAACCACTTTAAGTAAATGTGTACTTAAAATGTTAAAAATAATACAACCAATTTGTGATTGCAATTTTTGAGTCCATAAATGTAGGTACGCATTTGTTGAGAATAACTAATTTTAAGCACTGATTAATTTTAAAAAACTTTATTTAAAAGAAATATTACAAAAGTTTGTTTTAAGCCCACATACTGACCTCACTATTGACCTTGGCACATGCCCAGCAAATGCTGGTAATACAGGTATCATACCGAGTGATCGCATGCGATCAAGTATTTTGTGCTGCAGCAATAATTTGTTTGTTTTCCACATCTGTGGCAGTGGACCACCCCAACCTTCAATGTTACCCATTCTGGCCCTTCAGACAAACAATATAGAACACATTCATTATTTATACATCCTTTAAGGAAAAAATTACAAACTGTGACAGTGTTAAAAACTGTTTGTTTAAAAGACAATTATATTGACATCGTTTAATCTTGGATCTCATTTTTTTAAAATTAAAAGCACAGCACAAATACTTGTTTTTTTATGCTATCTACAAGTTAAGATATGGTACAAACAAGTCCGGACCATTGAGAAATATAAGCTGACCTGAATAAATGAGCCAAGCTACTCACCAGGCTAAAAAGGCTGGCCCTCCAAAATGCTCATCCATATCTGCCTGGGTGAACCCCATGCCTAGATAAACCTAGAATGGAATTCAAGGATAAGTCATTTATTCTTAGTGTCCACAATTCTAACATAAATAGATGCAGTCATTAAAGATGATCAAAGTTAAGCTTTGAAGCCAAAATCATGTTTATTTTATGCCTTGTTTATTCCATGTTTTGTTATTTTGTGTATTCAAATGTGCAGACTTAAAAATGCCTACACATGATGAGATATCTTGATAAAATCTCATTAAAATGCTCCCGTGAAATGAAAGACCTCTTAAGAGTGGCTCACATCAAAACATGACCCAACATTTGATGAACTTAAGCAAATGGACTTTTTTTTTTTAAACTGTTTAAATCTTGTAAATTGTTTGTATCCAATAAATAAGATTAACTGAGTTTTAAGAGATCTAGGTTTAAAAAATGTTGCTTTGGTTATTAAATAAAAAATTACAATGCATTACAAATTATGACTTAAGTTCTTAGTTTCTTTCAAATTATTAAAATAAAAGACTCTCTAAAAGCAAAACCAGTTGTTTAGAGTGTTTCAGTGAAAGTGAGAAAAACAATACTTACTCTTTGAAATATTGCCTCCTGGCCAACAAACGCCAGAGGGAGATTGATTCCATGCAGAGCCATCCAATCAATTTCCTGTTCCCACCTATCCCAGGCCCAAAATGCCATGGTGTAGCTAAGTGTACAAACATTTTGATAGTATCGAAACCTGTACAAATTTTTAAAAATAATAAATTAGAAGGCAAATCAATCACGGCTAAGATATTATAGTATAAGATTCAAGTGTTATTATAACCATCAATTTGGACACAACAGAATTTTTAAAATGGGAACAGGCAAACATGCTACCTCTGTATCATAACTAGAAAATAATTATGCACAATTATGTTGAATGGGATTATTGTTTATAGGTGATGATAAGGGTTGATTGAAATACTCAAATTTATTTTGCATAAGTTACTTAGTTTTTAAAAATGCCACATACTGGTCATTAGTTGTTACTTTGATGGGTGATGTGATCACAGGAAGAGTTGATGGCAACTCTGTCTGCTGCCCAGCCCATGTACGCTGACCCAGGCAGAAGTACTTCAGATAGTAATAAAACCCCATGGATGCAGCAACACCAGTTGTTCCAGTAATCTCAATTCCATTTTCTGTTGATCTCAGCTAAAGACAGAACACAAATCAATTACTGATTAAAAAATGTTTAAGATTTATAATTAGAACTTTTGATACAAGGATTCATTCATCTTAAATTTTTCAGAAGAAAATAATGTACTGGGTACTGGTTTGATAGTGTTCATAAAAAGAGTTAAAGGATAAAATAAGCTTTTGCCATCAGTTGTTAAGATTATGTAAGAAATTTATCAAAAGCAAAATTTCATTTTTAACAATTTAAAAAATGTGTTTCTTATCAAATGGGATTATTCAGAACTTTATATATCCCAATTAAATAATAAAATCACCTGGAATGTATCTCGATTTTTGGGTCCAATATTAGGATCAACAAAAACAGCAAATTCAGATGCCCTCGCCTTGATTAAGCGACCAATCAAGTCTTTAACTGCTTGGGCTTGCACATTTGGAGCAGCTTTAGCTCTTAAGTGGTTGAGCTGAGGAAAATCTGTCATCATAAAAAAATTTAAACTTTTAAAATAATCCCTTATCAGGTTTTTAAAGGTAAAAAATTTAAATTAAATTTATTAAATTAAAAATTTTATTAAATTTTTATTAAATTTAAAAGAAATTTAGTTACTGAACCAAAATTCTAATGTGATCGTTATCTTAAATCATGTTTCTACTTTTATATGTGCTCCTTTTTACATGTATTTCCATTTTATATGAGTCTTACTTATTAATGCCTCTGCTGTTCCAAAAATAAGCAAAAGAAGACAGCATCCTTGCCACTTCATCTGCAAACAATAAAAGAACAAAAATACAACTTGGTAAAAAATTATAAAATACAATCTTAAAATGTCTTCACGATCAATTAAACAAATATCTTGAATTTATTTAAACACTTTAATTGATCTGTGCCAGAGCCCCACATCTGGTGTGCCATGACAATGTCTGACAAAAGGACATTGTGAGCATATTACCACTGAGATAACTGAAATGTGCCCAATACTGACAGTTTACAAAGAGCAGTGTTTCCCAACCATTTCTACACTACAACCCCTACAAATTGTTTCACTAAGTTTTGCACCCTCTACAAAAGTAGGAATTTATTTTGAAATAATGGGCTTCTGATTATTTATTGAACTGCAAAGAGATGTGTAGAACTATAAAAAATAAACTTATGACTATTAAAGGAAATTATTAATGAACATGTGTTAAAAATATATGAAACATTTATGGCATACTTAAAAAGCTAATGTCTCATCCACTCTGATATCCCCTTTCCTCTCACCCTTTAAAATGTGACCACTCCAGTTTGGGAAACCCTGACATAGAGCAATACAGAGTAATCTAATATGTTTATTACAAGTCATTATGAATGTTAGCTATAGCAAGTTTTTAGTATATTTTTTGCATGTTTCTACTTGTGGCATGCCACAGAATTCTTGAAAAGACCTAGGGTGTGGCATGCAGGAGAAGAGGTTGCTGAGCTCTGGTCATTGCATTTAAATGTAAGTACACTAATAATAGGGTTTTTATGTTGTTGTTTTTAATAGACCACTGGATGAGCTAAGGGAGGCTTTAAAAAAGTTTAACATTTTTCGATTGAGCTGTTTTCTAGTACCATAAAATATGTCAGCACAAAAATAATCTGAATTTGTTGTTTGATATTAATATGAAAAAATATGAAGGAAAAAAAAATACAATTGTTAGAGTAAACAATTAGGTTATGTGTAGTTCAGTGATGATTATGACACAAAGGAATTTTTATGCCATGCTAGAATTAAGGCAGGGATTTCTTCTCCATTACAGATTTCCATGAGATTCTTAAGCAACAATATTTTCTTAAATTTTACTTTTATGTCAGTAAAATATTTAAATTGTGTTATTATTAAGCATAATATATATTAAATATATTAATTGTTATACAGATTGTACTGATGTGAAATAGGGTGTTTACTGCAAGACTAAATATTGACAGTCAAACTAACTTGGTGTGACTGACAGACAATCTTCACTACGTTCATCATAAATGATGTCACGCATCTAGGGGGGGAGGGGTGTCACATTTTTTTTGCTTGGATTAAGAAAATAGCTTTTAATAATTTTAAAATGTTTCCAAATCAGTTGGTTCAGACTTGTAGGACTTCCATTATAAACATTAATTGAGCTTTTGCAACAAATCAGTTGACAAACTGAAACTATGCTATAGGACTGAAATCCAAATTTTCAAATAAGTTGTGGCCGTTGCTAATGAACTAGAGATGTCATTGTCAGTGACAAGGCCATTAACTAAAATTAGCTACATTCCTTGTGTTGTAGTTTGAATACTGGTGTGCTGTGAGGTTGCTGGTATACTGATCGCAAACTGGCAAAACCCTTGCAATAATGTATCACAGTAAAGTTCATTTTCACAATCATAGGCTAAAATAATAAATAATATAGGCCTCCCTATGGAGCTTTTAGTTTTGGTCCTCATTTTATCGTGGTTCATTTTACAGCAGATTTGATGTTACTGCGGTTGTTTCGAGCGAGAAAAAAATAAGACTATCTTTTATTTTTTAAATGTAGTAGTTTTTTTAAGCATGTGAGTAAGCACTATTTTATCATGGAAGTTCGTAGACTAGCTCACAGAATACCACACAACATCCAGCATCCCAAGCAATTTTAATTACCTGACCTTGTTGTCCAGATTTAGGCTAGTATTGCCTGGCATGCAACTTTGAGTTTCATTGTAGCATTCTCTCTATTTTATTTTGGATAAAATTAATACCAATATGCTGGTAGAATGCTTTTAATTATAATTTCATTGGGTGGTTAATTATAATATTTAAATTTTCCAACATTTTGGAAAATTAGTATTGTATCGATTTCTAACAACTTCTGGATATAATTTTTGATGGAACCTATAATAAAGTGCGTAAAAGTGTATTCTATGAAACTGTTGGGCTGTCATTATTTAAAAATTATTTCATATTGTTTTTCTGTAAATAGCTAAAACAGCACATTTTCCCCCTTTCCCCTCCCCATGTTAGCACGAATTTTTTTTTTACTCTGACGCATCATGGTTGCCATGACCCAGAATGCTTCATGCAACTGGTTATGGTTCTGGTAATGTTTCGTTACTGCATCCATGCACTGGCATTTTTGCAACGGTTGGGGGTATGATGTTGCTATTCTAATAGCTCCTAGCTGATGCCAGGGCAGCCTTGAAGCTTATGACTGATGTCAAATTCACAGTTGCATCGTTCAGGTTGTTCCATGCTATTATTGTTCGTGGAAAGAAAGATTGTTGATACTGCACTGTGTTGCACTGAGGCACTTTGAAGCATTTGCTATTGTTTCTGGTGTAATTGTTTATGGGAAGTCAGTGGTGAAATCCATGTTCAGTGAGCGTTTTGCTCTGATCAGTCTACCCGGCTTCTGTGGGCTGAGGTATGTGCCTGCTGGGATGGCCGCACCAGTCCCATGATCACTTTATATAAGAATGTCGGGCGGAGTCCCTCTCGTCTGTCTTTAAGGGGAGGGATGTCAAATCTTTTTAAGAGGCCAGTGACGAAGCCAGGAGTGGTGGATTTGTAGTGGTGAGCGATAAAACGCACCGCGTTTCGTTGAATTTGCTCCATCGTGTCCACGTCTTGCTTAAGGTGTGGGTCCCAGATGATCGCACCATATTCCAGTAGTGGACGGACGAGTGCGAGATAGGCATTCCGTTTGCAGGAAGTTGGGCAGTGGCGCAGATTTCTTTGGATGAAACCAAGGGTGGAGTTGGCCTTTTTTAAATTTTGTTTATATGGGGTGACCATTTTAGGTTATTGGAGAAGAGAATTCCAAGGTATGGACTATTGGATACTTGGAGGATTGTCTCGTTTAGTGAGTAAATACGAGTTGATGGCTTTTTTTCTTGAGATTGTTATAGTGTAGCATACGTTTTCATTAAATTTCATGCCCCATGTGTCCGCCCAATTCAAAAGGCACTTCAAATCTGTTTGGAGGTGGTTGTGGTCATCGTTGCTGTTTATCTCTCTGTAGATAAGACAGTCGTCAGCGAACAGCCGCACTTGAGAATTTACTGTATCGGGTAGGTCGTTAATGTGACAGAGAAAGAGAAGAGGGCCCAGCACTGTGCCTTGTGGAACTCCTGAGTCTACGGTGACTTTCCCTGATTTGACGCCATCTACCACTACTTGCATGGTACGTTGTGTTAGGAATGTTGAGAGCCATGAGTGAAGGTTGCCGGTAATGCCGTAGTGGTGGAGCTTATGTAGAAGAAGGCTGTGTGGAACAGTGTCGAAAGCTTTGGAGAAGTCAAAAATTACCATGTCGACCTGGGTGCCTTTGTCATAGGAGGCTAGGACGTCATTGGTGGTGATGAGTAACTGAGTTTCCGTTGAGAATCCGGAGCGGAAACCATGATTTAGGTTGTTCAAAATGTTGTACTGTGCAAGGTGGCTTATGATGTGGCTATAGATGATGTGTTCCAGGGATTTGCATGGAACGGAGGTCAGGGATATTGGGCGGTAATTTGCTGGGTTATGACGGTCACCTTTCTTGTAGGCACTAGTGATGTTTGCATCAAGCCAGTCTAGAGGAAGTTTGCGGAGTCAAGCGACTTTTGGAAAATGTGGGTCATGGTTGGGGCGATGTTGTCAGCCAAGGTCTTCAGGACAATGTTCGGGATACTGTCGGGTCCGGGCGCTTTATTGGGTTTCAGGTTTTTTAGAAGTTTTGCTACTCCGGTTTCAGTAATGTTGAGGGGGCCTATTGTACCAGTTGAAGGTTTTAGGGATGGAATGACTGTGGTGGAGATCTAGGTGAAGACGGATTGAAACTGTTTTAGGAGAATTTCTGCTTTGTATTATCCATCACTTACAAGTTGCCCGTTTTCTAGTAGGGGGGCTATGCCGATGTTGTCTTGCTTCCTGGATTTAAAGTAGCGCCAGAAGGGTTTTGTGTTGTTGTTTTCGAGGCCTTCTTGAATGACTCCATTTATGTACTGCCACTCTCCTCTTCTTAGTTCCCTACAACAATGTTTTTGGAACTGGCGGTACAGGGTCCAGTTATTGTTAGTTTGGGATTACTTCAATAGTCTCTTCTTTCTCTTTAGCAGCTTCTTGAGCCGTGCGTTTAGCCATGGTAGATGACATGGATTCTTTGCTGTCGCTGATGGGATGAACTGAGATGGCGGCACTGGATAATGAGTGGCATGCCAAACCAACATTTACCCAGACTTCATTGTGATATGTAGAGCAGTGTTGTTTCTGTTATTTATTATTACAATTTCAATTGGACTTTAACAACAATGGCTTCAAACCATGTTTCATCTAAATTAGATTCTAATTTGTTTTAATAATAAAATCTTAAATTTGATGTAGGCCTACATTCATGCATTTATATATCTTGCTACATACATATAATAATATGTAAATGTACATTTATAATACACGCAGTTTACATGTCAATAGAGAGTGCTTGTCAAAATACAGCAGATTTCAAGTTACTGTTACATCGACATCACCATCGAAAAACGGAAAACAGCAATAAAATAAGGACCTCCTGTAATAATATTAATAACTTATGGGCCAACTTATGTTGTACCTAGCCTATTTTTGCTACTATTCCTATTAATTTTAGGTCTGCAACTTATAGTTAGTAGTAGTAGTCCTAGTAAAATTATTTATTATTAGTTTGCCAGCAATTATTTAACAGGCCTACATAACTGTATTACATTTATATTATACATTATACAAGATGTTACACTTTCACGTGTTATTACTCACCATTTTGGATTTATTTTACCTTTCAAATGAGTCGAACAATGTGTCAACTTTGGTTAAATGCTAAATAATTGACTGTATTTTAGTCGGCCTTAAATTTGGTAGCTATACAGATTACGTCGCCATTTTGTGCTGCTTGAAACAGTCACATGACGTTTCTCTAAATCACGTGAACTCAAAGCCCAAAGCGTAGTCTCTGTCGGCGACCCCACAGAAATCCCTTTGCAAACCCATTTGAGGTCACCTCACGTGGGCTGAAAACCTGTGCTCTAGTAGTTAGTAGCTTTATTATCCCAAGACTTCATGCGTCAAAGTCAAACTATCTCTATAATACTTTAAATTGTGGAACAGTTTCCCTCAATCTTTGCGGGAAATTGTAAATAATAAAAAGTCATTTAAGAAGCATTTAAAGACTTTTTTCTTTAAATAGATTTTAGGACGTCAGCGCGCTGTGAGCATTACAAGCTCTACCGGTATTATACTTTACTTTAGAAAAGTATTCAATCATCATTATGATGGTGTTTTTTTTCGTCCAAAATCAACATAGTAAGACATGCAAATAAAGATAAATTTATTATTTTTCGCCTAATGGATTTTTTAAAAAATTATTATTCGAAACGAAACATCTGTTACAATTAGGCCTGCAAGCGGTTACAAACATAATTTAATAGTTTTTAGACTTATTCCAAGTCTGTCTAAACTTTATTTTCTTAACTTAACGCATTCAAATCAAGACACTTATGATTCGGCCTTGAAACAATTTTTGATTAGCTTGTGATAGTAACATAAATACCCAGTCAAGAATAAGAATGGCTACGGTACCGAATAATAAACTCGACTGAATCTTGTGTAATTGAATTGTTATGTGATTCTGAGTTTCCAAGTGATAGTGTAAAAACTTTAAAAACTATTCTTACCATTTGACATTTAGCTGCTGCATGCTATTCTAATCAGTAGGCTATTAAGTTTTTAAGGTGACGATTTATGATAAAGAAGAAAAAAAATAGTCACTTAAGTTTTAACTATTTATTGACGGATTCGAGCCTAGAATAATAATTAGCCACCTGTAAACAATGCGTACTCTAATAACTAATAAAGTGTTAAATATGTTTGTTTTTTAATACCGGTGTTTTTGCTTAACTAGCAGCCTGCCGCGGGCGCAACTTTTCCTCCTCAAAGTCTTCTTAAAGAGCATCTAAGTCTAGTTAACTTTTTTTTTTCAGAGCTTGATTGGTTTAAAACTATAGATCTATACCGGTAATAAAATTAAAGCTTTAATGCACCAGCGTCTTAAACTTAATTAGCTAACATTCTTTATGTGTCGAGTTTCTAATTCTATTATCTAAACTTGCATTTGTATCATGAAAAGGGCGTTTATTTTTAAGGCTGGAAGACTACGTGAAACCATGAAGTCTATTGCCTAATGATGGTCCTTCTCTCTTACAAAGACAAACCTTGTGGCAACATGCCCTTCAACTTTGAACTTCAACCCACTTTCTAATATCTTATCATATGAAATTGAATAGAAGTACCGGTAGCCTGAGACTATAAATGACTATATCGGTATTAGAGAAATTCTTTAAGTCAGTACCGTAATAACTCTTAATTTCAAGCGGTTCAGATATTTTGAACAAATGGAATAAATATATTACTTATAAAGATGGTTCTATAAGTAGGCCTACCGTACGGTACTCAAGTGGGAAGATATGAAAATATGAATACCGGTAGTTAGTAGTATTAGTATAAGTAGGTAATTTTCTTTCATTCAAATACGGTACCAAATTAACAGTTATTAACACAGTTTCGGGGAAAGACAATTAGATTGTAACTAAGTTCTCCAGAGGTAAGAAGCCTTCCATCTAGAATTTTATTACGGTACCCGGTACCAGTATAAGTCAGTACGGTATACTACAAATTATAACATTAAGCATAATGTAAAACGTAATTATTATTTTTTAAATGTAGGCTACATCTTGCTTCCGAAAAGTAATTTTTCAAAAGATTAGCAAGTCAATAACAGTAACAGGCTGTGACGTTACGGTTACATTACAACATGCTCTGGACTAAGTAAATGTAAAAGTGGGACGTATCTTGTCTTGTTTGTTCAAGGTAGGGTTTGCATTTGAACAGCCACCCCCGTTTCAAATAAAACGAAGTGAAAAAAAAAAAGGACTTTAGAGAGCGTTCTCAAGCCTAATACTAACAAAAGATGACGTGCTTTAACTTCTTAATCAAGAGTGCCTATGTTTTGCAAAATTGTGTTAAGCATTATTTCTAGAATTTCTAGCCTATATTAAGTTCACCCAATGTTTCCCTGACTGGATCATGGATGCTGCTATTGCAATAGTTGATATATTTTATAGGGGTGGGGATGTGCTTGGTTTGGTGCCACATGAGGTACGGTAGTTCTTCAGTGGAATCATCAGACTGTCCCACTATAACTATAAGTGCTCTAACTATACTTCAAACATTCATCTCACTTAAGGAGCCAGGATGTAGCGAAATAGCTTCCTTTAAAAAAAATTAACTACCGGGTATTCAATTTGAATAAAATTAGATACTTGTGTACATCTTTGAATTCTTTTCTAAATGTCCTACCTATTGTTTAAGACCCCTCCAATTTACGACCTTGTTTTAATGGTAATTTAAAGGTCGCAAAACTGAGGGTTTACCTTATACTTGTATGCTTTTTAGAATGGTAGATCATCTTATTAAGAGATTAGAATTAGATCTACAAATGCCTACAAATTGAGATAATCAATACAGGTCACGGCATACCTTCACAGGGGAGACTTAGAAGAACCCAAAACAAGCACACGTTTACCATCTCATTTTGAAATGTATTATTTATAAAAATGGAACACTGAACTTGAGAGACTGCAACATTTAATTTATTATTTAAGAAACACAGAGGATTATATTTAGGATTATTTTATTTCTTTGACGTCTGAACTAAAGTGAAACATCTTTAATCACAAGAGAATGTATAAATGCAGTCCAAACATGGCAGCTTCTGTTACTATAATTTAAAAATTTCCCACATCTTAAATGAAATTATCATAGACCATAACACTAAATATGGTATAGTAAATCTTTTCTAATTTTGATTCCCAAACATCAAACATTGTGAGAACTAAACACATGTATAAATATATTACAGATTTGCTGGACAACGAAGTGGTGGTTACAAATGAGAGATATACACTGAAGATTGCTTTATAGTTTCCATGAAAGTAATAACATGAAAGTGAAAGCAGCCCACAGTGGAGCTGATAATAGTTAAATTGTGATGGAAGGATTGATTGGCTAACTCAAGAGGTATTATTCAAATTGTTTCTGTCTTGAGTGTCATTCAGAAATCAAAGTACATAGACAAACATCGTCAAATCTAGAGGGCATCGTACAAAAATTGATGCAAAGATTTTAATCCTAGACAATTTAAGTGTTAATGAAAAACATGCTAAAAATCAGCAAATTTTAAAAGCAATGAGATTTTAAATGAGTTAAAAAAATATGATGCAGTGAGAAGTTGTCAGTGTAACAAGTCGTCTCAAATGTCATCACTGTGTATCTCAATGCCTATTAACATCTTTTTATATCAATAAGCTCTACATCAAAGATTAATGTTGCATTTGCTGGGATTACCCCTGCTGCTCCTTTTTCACCATAAGCATAGTCTGGAGAAATGGTAAGCCTGGCCCTTTCACCTTTGCTCAACTGTAAATTGAAGAAAATTTGACATTTTTAAAACAAGAGTCCTAAAGGTTATGGTAGGGGTAAAAAAGGAAACTGACAAAAATTGTGTTATTTTATCTATAAGGATCACATAATTTTCCGTAGGACCATACAAGTAATAATTGTGAATGAAAATATCTCAATCTTGCAGAAACGCCAAACATATACTACCGGCATAAACTGCAAACATAATCATGGTTTTGTACTGGTTTAATATAGTATGATACAGACACATTTAATTTGTAAAAATTCTCAAGTACAGGTAATTATAATTACTTGAAAATATTATTAAAATACCCATAGGTACTATTAGGTACATAGAATGTTGAAATCACAAAACATACCTGAGTGAATCCTTCATCCCACCCTGCAGAATAGATTACAAAAGTTTTAAAAAATACAGGTACTGATCAAATTTAAAATGCAGTTTTGCAATTCAATAACACTAAAATAAAATTTAAAAATCTGCTTTTAAAAAAAGAATACTCGTCACCCAATGAATGAAAATATTTTAAAAAGACAGAAGGCTCCCTTGGTCTCATTTCCAGCGGGATTTCCGCATTCTGTAGTGCAACATATAAACGAGGGTTTAGTGGCTGGATTTTGCCATTACATGGTTGAATAGGTTGAAGGAAGAAATTTTCTTTAATACAAACTAAATTGTTTTCCACAAAATTTTAATTTTCTTGAAGGTACACTCTCACCTGTACCATGATAAACTTATTCAAAAAATTTGTTAAAATCTCTCACATAATACAAATATGGTACAATAAACTAGTTCCTTGCAATAATAATTGCACAAAGTCAGTGTTAATGGTAGATCATAAAGTAAAATACAATGACCACTTCATTATAGTTAGCAAGAAAAGAAACTGTCAAAGGGATTTTTTTTTTAAATTCAGGGATATATTGTACATTAATGGTATTTTAGATTTGGTATGAATTTCAAGCTATACCTCTGATAACTTTACCAACTCCAATCTTGGTTTCAAAGGGCTTGCCACGGTCCCTTGAGGAATCAAACTTCTTACCATTTGTCAGTGTCCCTATAAACGAAAAACTTACTATATAAGTATTATAAACATTTTCAAAACTCAGGAAACTCATTATTTCTTTTAAACATCAGTTGGAGTGAACTGTTTCAAAATTTTTACTAAATGTAATAAAAAATAATCTACAACCTAAGAGGAAATAGACTTTCTTTCAAAACACCAGTTTAAATAAAATGCACAAGAAATTTGGAAAACAATATACTTAAACAGCTGATGCTACTATTTTTTTTCACATTGCTAAGTATTTGCTCAAGCGAACATTTAAATTTCTTAAAAACACAAAGTCTATACAGAAAAAAAATTTCTAAAGAAATCAATTAAGTAAAAAAAAATTATTATAAAAAAGC